AGCGCGCTAGGTCGTATGACAACTAAAGGCAGAAAGACAACTCGGCCATCGATTAATCCTCTTCTGAAGAAGTTGTTTACCAATGTTTCGACGATCAGTTTCTCTGCACCATACGGAGACTGGAATAGGCTATATCTTTTCAGAAATGATTTCGTTCAGAGACTCAGGGAGGCCATATATTACTAGTGAGGATGGAAACGTAACAACCACACCGGGCTGGTTCTTCCTAAGATAATACGGAGCTAATCGATACAAGTCGAGGATGACAGCACGCGTGAGGTCGAGATTCCTTCTGCGCCACCGGACGTGACGCCATGCAAAAGTAGTAGGCATCCCATTCTTGGCTACCAAGCCAAGAATTGAAAGTAGATGGGTCCGTTATGTCTACTTTTAGTGGTTCTGCACGTTTTGAGTTTGATGGGGCCGGGTGGTTAAGAACGATGGCAAGTATGAGATGAGTGTAATTCGGATTCTAGAAGAGACGCGGCGAGCACCTGGCCGATGAAGTCCCCTACGTCTGTAATCAGGGTATATTTGGCCGTGGTGGTATAAAGAGGAGCTTACTATGATATTGCTGGGGGACGGCGACTAGTTGTAGAACGAGCTAGTGAATGTCTCGCATCGAATATAAGACCTACTGTACATTATATACTCATTTAAAAAATTTTTTTTTCTTCGATCTCTCGACGTGGTTATCCCGCCGCAGGACCAAGAAGCTAGTACGATATGTGGCACGTGATTCTACTATCCTATTATAGTTGGTTTGTTTTCAGGTCTACATAGTCTCGCCACTACCAGCCTCTGGCCAGGCAGGCCACTTACCCTCCTTCAATACATCAATATTTGCCTCAGCAATTGATGCTGCCTGATACGGGACAATATGTGTCCCCTGTCGGAAAGAATTCCGATGCGATCCGACCCCATACACGACCAGCGAGGCTGGAGAACGTCAATCGGCCTCCAAACTTCCCGAATCGCAGAGTTTTGTTCTATAAATAACTCTTACGAGAGCTTAATGTGAACCATAGTCAGGTTTGTTATAGTTTACCATTTGACATTCTATCTGAAACGACCCCCAGAAATATTTACTACACACAAATGAGTACAATCGGCGCTTAACTAGGCACGAGCAAAAACAATACCAAGTCATTCATTATACATCACCAAAACCCGTAGCACTGTCAATTTTCATTTCAACCTGTGACTCATAATCACTACGTATTTAAACACTAGTTGATCCTACTTCCATGAGGAAACTATTTGGCCAATATTCACTTGTGTGGGAAGGCATCGGTTCTTCTAGACGGAAAATGCGCATAACCCGCCGATATTCCGAACAGCTGCACAGAGATACAAGCACTCATGAAACCAATTGCGGTGCGTGCTAATATTCCACTGAAAGCAGCATAGAACATAATCTTAGTCAGAGGTGTCGAGATGTCGCTTCAAATGCCAGTCGCAGACTTAACCCGGATTCCCTTGCTACCGCGTCTTAGAGCTACACTCTCGCATCTTCCACCGTCTCCTTCGACATTGGATGACCTCCAAGCCCAAGCGCGCAGGGATATCCTGTCGAATCCCGACGTCCCCACACTCGTCGCGCTGGATGACGACCTCACGGGCACGCAGACTGCCACTACATAGCAGTTCTGACAACATGGACTGCCGACGTCTTGGCGAAGGGATTCATAAACATAAGGCTGGGAAGTGAATTCTTCATGCCCCTAAACACATGCGCGTGCTACACCAGCCAGCTGCAGAGGCGCTGACGGTGGATATATGCCAGAACCTCAAGCAAGCTGCTGAGACGCCCTACGAGGCTACTTTCTGCTTGATCCAGATGCAGTTGAGGAAGTACTAGGGTCCGCGGATGCTTGGATAATTGCACCTTTCTCTTTTTTTTAGGGTGGACGATATACCCTAAACGATGTGCACTATGTCGCCGAAGGAGATAGTCGGGTGCCGGCTGCCGATAAACCATTCCCAAGCGATGCTAAATTTGGATACAAGAACAATAACCTACGGAACTGGGTTGTTGAAAAATCAAAAGGTAAGATCGAACGGGAGCGGGGCTTTGGTTTAAGCCTGCTAGATATTCTGGCAGGCGGTGCGGCAATATTGGGGAGGTTCTTTTGAACGATCGAAAAGGTAGCATCATCATCGTCAATAATGCTATAGAAAATGACACGGATGTTGTAGTTCTCGGCATTCTACAAGCCCTTGCGCAATGCAAAAAATTCTCTACCGTTCTTGGGCTTCTTTTGTAACTGCTCGCCTGGGAATCTCTCCCATACCCCCAATCTCATCTAAACAACTACATCTCAACCCTTCAAGGGGTGGTTTAATTATCGCTGGCTTATACGTTTTAAAGACCACTACTCAGCTGGCTATATCGAGAGAAAGATCCAGCGATGGATATGAAACCGTCAAAATCAAACTTAGCAAACTGCTGGCATCATCAAAGTGGTCGGAAGAGGAGCTCCAGCGTGCCCTCAGTCGTCGAATTAGAACTTAAATGCCTGCGAGGCGTGCTCATAATGACGCCCCGTAAATTTCCTATCGGAGCCAGCGAGGCAAAATCACCCGATATCGCCCCTACAGTTGCCGCTTCTCTTGTTTCCTTTCTCACGCACTTGAAGAGATAATCAAAGCATATAATTGCGAAGAAAAGGGGAGAGTTACGAGTTCAGATATGGCAACCAAAGTATTGAGTATGAAGAGGACGATAATTGTGGGCCAAGCAGCTACTGATATTCCCCTCTGGAGATGCGAGGAAAAGACCTACATGAATCCATATATAGCATACTTCGTGTTTCCGGGAATGTTGTTGACAATTGTACACTATATGAATTTGTAACTCAGTGGAAGTTGTAGCCCAAAGCCTTTACGCTGCTTGAGCTATCGTTTCCAAGCAAGCGTTATTTTACCTCCAATCGTATAAGTGTGTACATGTTGTAAATTACATATGGTATTTTCACAACGCACGCCGTTGGCTAGCCCGCATTTCCAATCATAACATTCCAATCATAATAACCCAAATGCAGCTATCTATAAAGCACTAGATGACACTGCACGGGGTGACGTTCCAATGATCGATAGACGCATCAAGTCAAGCTGTAAAGTATCAGGGAATATGAGGAGAAGAACTGCTGTATTTTTTATCATATCCATGGAGGATCAAGGCTATTTATACTGTCTATCCTAGGTATCACATGATATAAGGGCTAATCCATAATAAGGCTCGTGCGATCCATATAACCTTACACAAGCAAGTATATCTTGGCATTCTCCGCGCCACCCTCCTACATTCCGCGCGGAACAGGAAAACAAATGTGCGCATCATGAGTTAGTGAGGGCGTAAAAGTAGCCTGATCTCCTCGCACGCTTCTTCACTGCACTACACTTTTACATTCCTCTTTTTTCACTATTTCCTAATCGAGAAAGATATATGGGGCTCTTTCTACGAATTTTTTTACACTGAGCCACGTTTAATATTGTAGAGCTCGAAGAAACACTGAGTGACCCAAAGCGACCACAATCATGCCAGCAACAAAGTCCACGATACTGCTCAGGGCGAAGACGCTCCTACCGGACACGTACTGTCTTGTTATTTCTACTTACAAACCTAAGGGGATACAAGAAAATCGACCTAGATGTCATGTACAGGCACTATCAGAATCTCGTAAAAAGTGGATTACTTGAATTGGTGTACTAGGGGCGGATGGTGGAGCCGTGCTGCTGAACAGAGAAGAGAAACACGAAGGTATATGCCCAAGTCTTCAACCTGAATATCTCCTTAATTTTTGAACCCTAAGTTAAGGGGCGCTTTGCTAGTCATCAGAATAGCTCGGCGTGCGGTGGCAGGGCTCGGGATACTGCACCACCCGCTCGTAGTATGTATTAGCGGGCAGAGCACGAACGAATCCATACAACTCACAAAAGACGCTGCGGAAGCTGGAGCAAGCTTTGCATTGCTGTTACCTTCAAATTTTCAGGGCGAAAGCTGTGACTGAGGAGGCGTTACATGGCTCCTACAGAGACATTGCCGACGAGAGTCTATTGGTAGTTATCTATTTTAAATTATATATCCTACCTACTTCTCTATATCTTAACTTCTATCCCTTTGAATCGAACGAGGAGATGGATACTAACGAGTGTAGTTTCCAGGCATAGCCTCATGCATCGACCTCAAGTCCGACAACCTTAGCGCATTAGCCTCACAACCAAAAATCATTGCTGCAATACTAACATGCGGCAACGTCGGCAAAGCCGAGCGCCTCATTTGAAATTCTCACCTCAACAGTTCGGCAACATCTAAAGTGGATCCTCAAACTTCCCCTTTCCGACACTAGAAGCAGGAAGCATGGGCTGCGTCACTGGCCTGGTGAATGTGTCCCCTAAGTTAATAGCACGGAAATATTACCTTTGGGTTGAGGGTGAGAAAGACGAGGTAAAGGGGTTGTAGGATGTCGTTGCGAATGCAGAGTGGGCATGTAAAAAATCATTAGCATTGACGAAGTTTAGGGTTAACCGTTTTCTAGGGACGAAGATTGAAGTGAACGATCCGAAGCCTTTTTGGCCGAGGAAACATTATCTTCCACCAGGCGAGAAGATGAAGAAGTGGACGGCGAAGGTTAGAATTTGCTGGTTGAAGAGGACAGCAAATAGGAAAAGCTGTGGAAAGATGAGCGATGGGACGAAGTAGGCCTGGTATATGGAGACACATTATGGCGCCCAATGCAGCATATCTTGAGTACATACTGGGAGTTGAATGTCAAATGAAAAGGACATATCTTATGGGCGAGATATGACTGACGGCAGTTCATCGCTGTGGTGGCATGGCACTTCGCTTAGCACGACTCCCATTGGCTCGCGTCTGCAACATTTGCCCCGCCCTCTGCTCCGCCCCAACATCGGAATCTCTGAATATTTTGGTGTAGACATCTTTTTGGTACAATATAGATATAGCAATTATCGAAATTCGTTAGTTTAATTTGAAAGACACGATGGCCGAGTGGTCTAAGGCGGTAGATTTAAGTTTTGCGATGTGGTCGCTCTGGTTAAATCTCTACTGGGGAAACCCGCGTGAGTTCGAACCTCACTCGTGTCACTTTTTTGCTCTTACTGCACCCTCAACAAGCCTGGGGTAGTCGATAGTTGGGAGAACGCGGATGTTGCGTGGGCGGTACATGGAGCATGTGGGGGGGTTCATAGACTTTGTCTATGTAAATTAAAGTTGTTAGTAGAAAGGTACGATAATCTTTTGACGGCGTGGAAAGTTTTATCCTGTATTCATAGTAGCATTTGTGCCCGGAAAGCGGCGGATACTAGTCCCAACGACATTAGAAGCGATCGCTAAGACAACTTCTTCCTTGTTCACATTCATATTTTCCGGAACATCTGGTTACACTACACCACGAACCATCGCGCCGAACCTATTAGTCTTGCATACTAATGTCTACGATCCATATATCTTGCGATCGAACTCAAGTTCGCATACTCCCTTTGCTTTTCCTTTTATCTTCCATCGTCTCAAGCTGCGCATTGATAAAAATGCATAGGCGGTATAGGTAGTTATCAGAATGCTAGCAAAAGACGTGACGAGACGAGGGAACAATCGCTAACAGGACTGGAATCATCCTGGATACGACATAATACGTAGAAAACTTTACATAGACTTCGACGTCGCACCCACCTAATAACCACTTCTTAAATAGTTTCGACACTTCTGATTTAATTAACCAACAGAGGAAATAGCTTAGCAAATAGATGATTAGCAATCGCGAGAAAGGTATCAATTGAAGTTATACAAGAATGTATTAGTGACACGTGAGAAGGGTTATTATGAGTGGAACTGCTGACATTACTCTTCTACCCCATCTAAGGGTATCAGAAGAAGTATGGAAGATGACGAGGTTCCTAGGACGACATAGGGAGACACTCCATCCAATAACGGGTTGCAATTGCGTGCGATTGATATGTAAGCACAAGGATAGCTATTATAGCATGTTTTTGGCACGAATGGTTGGGAGTTTCCGGTCAGGAAGCCCAATTCGAATCTTTCATATGTTCTAAATGAGAGAGTATTGTCTAGCATCAAGCAACGATGGCATACCATTTTTACAAGTCTGCAAGTGTCCTAGCCATAGATGCCCATAGGCGTAAAAAATTTGCGTTGAATGTATCAGCAACCAACCAATTTCACCCCTACCTCCGCTGCGCTTACTTTCAAATCTGATATTTCCTAAATTCCCTCGTCGGAACATTCCTCTCAAACATGATATCTAGTTCCTCGTAGGTTCTCCCTTTCATTTCCGGAACCCGGAAATAGCACCAGATCAAGCAAGGCGCACTCAGTGCACCAAAGAAGAAACCAAGCTTGCCTCTTAGATCTGCTTCGTCAGGATTGATGAGGTAAGGGATTGCAACAGTCATGATAATCCCGACAGTTGCTTGCACGGCCGTAGCAACTGCAATGGTTTTAGAGCGCACACGAGTCGCGCTAACTTCGCAAAAAATGGCGTAGGCGACAGGCCCCACACTAGGCTATGTGAGCGATCGAATCAACGCAGTATTAAGGGGTACTTACCTCCAATCAAACGTAAAATTCCACACCAGTAGTCTGCCATACGTCAATACCTAGTGACAACATTACTTAAAGGAGAGCAAAGGAGCTTACAAAGCGGACTGAGCCCATAGAGCCCCTTTAGTTTCCACGACATCTAGTATTCCCACCAAAAACATAATGATCATTAAGACGGCCAGGCCAGTGTTGTACAATGGCCTCCGCCCAAATTTTTGCATCAAGAACCATGAAAGACAGGTGCTGACCCACCCCACTGCCATAAAGCCGATGCCCATGTTATAGGCCTGTTCAGTATTCAACCCGGCAAGGTTGAAGAAGTATGTCCCATAATTGATAAGATAGATACCACACAATACTTGAGTGGCATAGACACCAATCGCAACCTCGGTACGGCGCCAGTTAACCTTGCGGAAGACGTCCAAGTAGGTACTTCCAGCTTCCATTTGCGTCTCGAGTTTGTCCGTTTCAATAATTTGGGCGAGGACCGCTTTCACGTTGACAACTTTGCTCGAAAGTCGACTGAGTGATCTCTCGGCATCCGCCATCCTGCCCTGTCTCGCGAGCCACCAGGGACTTTCTGGAGCAAAGAACATCCCCGGAAGAATCATCAAAACCCAAAACCATTGCAGTGCAAATGGAATGGAATAGGCCCAGTGGCTATCGATGTCCTTGGTGGCCGCTGTCACACCGTTCCCCAGCAGTTGCCCAGTGACGAAGCACAGATTGACATAAGACGTTGAGACACTTCGAAATGTCACAGGAGTTACTTCCGAAGCATAGGCAGGTGCAATGACCACAAATGCTCCAAGTACTAGGCCGGCAAGTAATTCTCCTGCGAGCAGAACTTGCAGAGAGCGGGCGAAAAATTGTATGAAGACGAGTCCAGCAACAGCGATCACACACACATTGAAAGTCTTTTTCCTTCCGTACCACTCCATTGGATAACCGGCAGCCAGTGCACCTACAACTTGCCCAATAGGATTGCCCATACTAAGGCCGGTTTGCCAGGCAGCGGATATGAGGTAGCCATCTTTGAACGGGTATCCAAAATCTTTCTGAAAGGCTGGCATAGCATAGAGGTTTCCGAGAAGCTGGGGATCAAATGCTATGCGAGCGTCAGCGATTGAAAGACGTGGTAGGCTTCGGAGCGGGTCTTGTATACACACATAACATGATGACCCCCAAGCTGAAATACATTGACCATCCTATTGCTTTAGGATATAGCCTTATCGCATCGCGAAAGCTTAGCCCATGCTCGATTTCAATCGCTTCTCGAACTATTTCAGCATCTTCTCGGGTTGCTAGCTTGCGCACTTCGATAGGCGTGTCTGGGTCTTTGTTGTCAGTAGACATCATGACTAATCTCGATCGTTGGGGGTCTGGTGATGCGGAGAAATTTTGGGAATTAGACACGTCGGACAAACAACAGGACCGGCAGCAATCTTATGCAGACACCAACTGTGCAGAAAGTTGTAAACAACTGTTATCAGACGCGGGAAGAACCCTGCTTGTAGTGCGGGGCCCGCAGACCGGCAAGAGTCCTTTTGTGAAGTAGACGGGGTAAGGATGAACCCGGCGCAGATCTTTCTAGCCATATTAAGGATGCTATACATTCATATTATAGCGCCAGAACCCGAGCTCATGCTAGGCCCCAGTAGCCAGGTATTGGAAATCATTGTCCCGAGTAGAAATTTCGGAATACTCAACGCTGTAATAGCTCAATCCTTAGAAAAGGGTGAGGACGGCATGTCTGGGCCCCGGAAAATATTGAGAGTTGGAAATAGGTCAAGCACATATAGATCAGCAAGAGACTAGGTTAAGACTTCGAGAATTGACCCAGAGCCATAACCACGGAGAAAAGGAGCATGGTAATGGACCGTTGTACAGAATTCTGATGCAAGACGCACTGAAATTCACACAATCAGAGCCAGCCTCGCGAAGGATTGACTATTGTGTACTTCCATGACCCAAAGAGATAAGCAGCGGTGATACAGTTCATGAGTGTGGGTTCCGACCCCGGTTTAGGTATCCCTTCCGCCGTTGACTGCGGCAGATAAAGAACGCCTCCATAATGTGAAGCGGGTACGGAGTAGTACCTTTCTGGAAGATAGATAATGTGCGGGCAATACCTCGATACATGGAACTGATATCGATTTTCGACATGACATAACTGACGCATCAGGCGGTTTCCTCTACTCAGAAGTTGGTCGTCCGTAATGAGAGTGCACTTTATCTGTACGAGACTCATTTGTGATTGGTAATTTGTGATTATTTCTTCATTTGAGATTACGTCGGAGGCAGGACGCCAGTGTGTGGAGGTCGATGTCGTAAGAGAAAGAGCAAGTGCGATCAACAATAGATAGCGCATGACGAGACTCCAAGATTTAGCTTGTGCTTTCGGGGGCTTCTCCGAACCTCAATCTCCATCTGTCCATGTATATAACGCCCTTACCGACCAGAAACATAGCCCTATCTAGCCGTATATTTTGCCTCATCTCTAGTTTGTAGTTTTAAGTTCGATTCCCGCACACATTGAAGATTCGGAGAATGGGAGAATGTAGAAGACGGACCACACATAAGCTCCGTACTATATCCCACATCTCACCGCTAACACACTTAAGGCGATGCTATTCCTAGGACGCCTACAAGTAGCGTCCGAACTCCTCATAGATCCAACTCATATACGCTTTTTGCTACAGGATTCAGGGCCGGCACCAACCCAGCCCTTACGCTACCTATACAAAACATCTCTCTTAGGTCGGTGGTTCTTCAAATGTATATTGGAATTAACAACTAGTGTTTTCCAAAAATTGTTATATTATCGATGTTGAATATTAATACCTATTTTCAATTCATTATATAATTTAGAAATCCAATTTTTAATTATAGTTCTTTTTAATTACTTAGATAACCCATATATAACGAAATTCGGTCGTATAAAATACACTCCTCCCTCCGCGACTCTGAAATAAATGGAATGTTCCAGCTCTTATCCAATCACTGACGCCGCCGAAATCTGAAGCTGGAAGAAGCATTGGCCCTATGATGCCGTCGGAACTAACAGGTACTCCCCAACCATTTTGCGCAGTAATAAGCTAAATCTTAGTTCATGGCATCAATTCTAGATGCTTAAGGCCAGTATGGATATTTCCGTCGTCTTGTGAGACCACATTGTGGAAATCGGCATCACATTCTACATTCTATGACCCGGACCTCGCTCCGATATTGTCAAAGAAGACGATTCTGCACATATTGAGAATCTTTCTCGGTCACTAAAAGTTGGGGTATACAGCTGTATAACATAGGGTGTGCGGAAATAACTGCTCCGAAAGAATTGTTACTTTGCACAACCGGTTCCGCTTCGATCTCGCATTCGACGCATGGTCTTGGCCGAAAGGCTCGGCTCCACGAGGACACTATATAGTTTTCGCGAGGGCGCAGATCCGCAATAAAATCTTCAAATAGTGGAGCAGAACCGATACTTTCATCATCATCATGAGTCTGGAAAATACCTGGGACAATGT